ATTAACTACAAAAAATCATGACATAGTTAATGATCTTTATAATTTAACCCTGAGACAGTCTTCAGAACACACCTGTTTCTCCAAGAGATGCGACTTCTCATCTTCCGCATGCTGGATCATATTTCTCATGTAGTCCAGCTGTTTCTCTAACAGGCTGCACCGAGACTCAGCAGCTGCCAGCTGAGAAGCCAGTTCTGAAGATAACAGAAGGCAGAAAAGTGAAATCACACACTGCTTGTTGCTGGGATTTTATTTTCTGTTTTCAGCACAGTTCCAAAACAAACAACGAAAGGACCATCAAAAGAAACTCACAGATTAAGCCCAATGAACTTCTGTATGCATGCAAATCTCTAAACCAAAACTCTATGCTTTTATGCTTTTTTTTTTCTTTGCAACTCCCCTGTGTCACCGCAAAGTAAAAGATGCTGAACAAAGAAAACAGTTGTATGCATTGATAAAAATCAAGTTTCATCCACAACACTATTTTGTGGTATCTATATAAAGTTTGCAAACAACCTTGATTTTTCTTTGACACTTCTGTCTTGTCACGCTCTTTGTGTTGCATTTGTTCACTTAGTATTTTTTTATAGTCTGCGGTTTCCCTGCTGAGGTGTTTTACATTCTCCTCTGCCTGAAGCCGTTCCAACTCCAGTCGATTAATTTTTTCCTGAAGATTCTTCAGAGCAGAAAATATTGCTGGAATTGAACAAGTACCTTTTGTTAGGTAACATTAAACCACCACTTCAAGATAACATTGAACTTGAAACATTTTTATAAAAGCACATTATGTAAGAAAGTCAGTGTTCCTTACCAACATCCAAGACTCCTTCCAGGAATTAAGACCTGCTTCCCTTTAAACAGTAACTGATTTAATACTAGTCTTAAACAAATAGATGCCCTTGGTGCACACCCTCACCTGAAATATTTGGGAAAGATGCACCCATTTCCCAGAGCAAGGCATGTCAATGTTCTGTAGATTAAGTGTAAACAGTGCATCTTTCTGACTCTTTATCAAAAGGAATGAAAGGTCACAACTGGATAGTTAAAACAGCAGCAGGTCTCTAAATTATTCTTCCTCTACAAGTGCATGCTAGCACAACACACACATAAACACAACGTTCCCATGAACGGTCACAGAGCAGAATACAGGTTAGCTATCAGAAGGGCTCTAACTGTGTTTCTTTCTCTAAGTGGCAGCTCTTTTTTAATTCTTCTGGTTTAGCACTTGTGTTCCCCTCCTCCTCCCCAAGACATGCATCCCCTTTGTGCTGAACAACCTTCCCTCTTTTCTGTTCCGTTCCCCAATTTAGCAATTACTCAACAAAACCTTTATATATTCATCCCCACAAAAAGAAAAGCACTTGTAATAGGACTCACACCACCCTGCAATTAGACCATCTGCTGGTAATCTGACGTATTACGTCTCTTCGCTGTATTGTTTAATTCTGCCAAGGGAACCACAACCATAAGCCCTTTCCCCTACACAGTCCTGTTAAAGTAACACACAGGAACATCTGCGCAGACAGCTCATATAGCAGCTTAATCTGTGAGCTCACATTAGCCCACTCCTTTGTGCTTAAATCCACTCTAGAGAGAGAATGCACCTGTATTCCCGAATGTACGAGCACAAGAAAAGTTGGGACTGCATACTTATTTGAGCACCAGATTACAAAAAAAAAAATCAGAATGAGTTTTCCAGAGTAAAAACCCATCAAATCTTGAAATGCAGACTAGCACATTAGAGTATCACATCAATAAGCACTACCTGCTTTAAGGTACCTGTTAAGTAAGTGGGTGACAGCAGTCACTGTTATGGGGAAAGTTACAGATAACTTGGCCCTGTTTGCAAGATCAGGGTCACCAACTGTACCCTCTTCTCTATATTACTGCTACCAGGATTCAGTTGAAGTGGGCATAGCTGAAACTGTAAAAGCTTGGAAACCATTATCCTGAAAGCCAAGTTGAAATCTCTGTATATTTACAATAATGACTAACAAAAACCACCAATGAAGCAATTCAAGCAATGAACAAAGGTGAAACCCAACAGGATGCCAAGTATTGTTCAGTCATCCTTATTAGATTATTAAAGCCAACAACGTATGCCAAGACACACACATATACAACACAAAGAAATTTAAAATAGCAGAATTTACTATATTCAATTTCAGGATTTTTCAACAGGATTTTTTTGGGGGGCGTGGGAGGAACAGTAAAGACCCTCAAGAACAATCAAATCTATTTTCCCATCTGAGGTTAATTCCCATATCCTTAAACTTACTAAAATATACAATCCAGAACATTTTTTTGCATAGCTTTTAAAAATGCAAAAGAGTAAGACATTGGATCATCTGCCTACCGGATTTGATTTTCAGTACAAATCCATATTTACTTAAGCATTTTTTGAAAATAAAGACATTTCATAATTATTAAAAAGCAATATAATTTATCAGATTGTCTCCCTCCACCCGTACTTAGTTCAGAGTTGGCAGATTCCCTGCTTGAAAAAAGTTGCCAAGTAAAAACTTGGAAGCCAAAAGTTTGTCACTAATGCAAAAACGCAACACAACCTACAAAACTACACCTGCATCAGTAATTCATAAGGAAACTCTTTCCTGCAGATCCCATTTTTCATCTGTCACAAGGCTCCTTTAGTTTTGTGTCAACAGCACTGAGCTGACGAGAGCATATACTGCATTTTAAATAGCACTTTGAGAATTGAGATTTCATCTACTAGGTCATTAATGTAAAGTCTCTAGCAATTCAGACACAAATTACATTACTGGAACAGGGACTTGAGGCTATCATGCTGATTCTTTACTTATTCTGAGTAATATTAGGATTAATCCTAAATCTTTCTCACATTTCTCCCTATGAGGAAAAAAATATCATGTTTTTCATACCATTAAGTCTCCATGCAACTCCAGTCTTAAAGGCAGTATTTTTGCAATGACTCTGAGTCTACCAGCTCACATCAGAGGACAGGTCCTGCTCTAGCCTCCCAACCCCCGGTGCTGCCTCCTGTACTTACCCAAGGCAGCTCTGGAGCACATCTCATTGCATGACAAGCCAATCCACTGAAATAACAGAAAACTAACCAAGAATGTGTTTTTGCTCATGTCAAGCAAGAGGAATCGCCTAGAAACAAGAAAGGAGGGAGAAGGAATAGCCTAGAAACAGGAATAAACGGGAGTAAAATCACCTCCCTTTTTGGTGTTGTAAGCTCTCAGTTCAGCACTAGGCTGAACTCTTTTCTGCATCCTCTAAGTCTTCACTGATAAATATTCTCGCCACACCCTTTGTCCATGACAAGCCTTCCCATTTCAACAGGACCAAACCTCTTCCTTTGCTCCAAGCCATTCTGGGGACTAAAGCCTCCTTATTTCAAACTCAGCTGTGAACTCAGGAGAGGAAAGACTGAGGGAGAGGAGGACTGAAGGGGGGACAAAGAAAATATGTCAGGATAATTTGACAAAGCACTGAGTCAATTCTACAGCTCTCTGCTACTGAAGGGGAGCATCTTTCTCCAGCTGTAAGATGACCTTTTTTCACTAGGTATCTTTCAGAAAGGGAAGTGCAAAGGACCTACAAAACAGGACAAACAGTATTTCACCACATGATTTGGACGTAGGTAAGAAAACAACTTCGCTGAACTATTACCTCTGCTGTTGCTTTCGGGATACGGAATTACCGGTTTCCGTGGGGAGCGCAACAAATCTGAATTAATGAATGGCTTGTACTTCGGATATTCTATAAATGAAGTTGTAGAGAGTCCATCTGTGGCTGATGCAGAGTTATGAGTTTTGTGCAGATCGTCCTGAAAACAGAACAAAGCTGTTATTCAGCACATTTGTTTCTCTGTCACAACAACAACAACAAAAAGTAGAATCCAATTAGATGATGTGTAGAAGTATTGCTGCAGGAGACTAATACCTCAAAAGCTGTATTTCTTTCCTTACAGCCTTAGGCTGTGTCATTTTTACACCAAACTCTCCTCCACTAAAAACAGTATCATAAAGAAAATGACTTTTCCATACTAGTTTCCAATTTCCACTTTTGCTTTCTACTTACACTGTCTTTTGCTTATCGTGAGAAGGTAATACACAATTAGCAGGAAAATAGCCACCTTCTTAACTACTGGTTATAGTCACCGTGCAGAAGACACTGTACTAAGGTGGCCAAACCTGACAAAGCACACCTAGGACCACAGTTCCCCAGCCACTCACCTAACATAACGGCTCCCTGATTGCAGATGGGGCACGAGACTCGCTCTCCCCTCACCTCACCCTCCCAGCTGCTTAGCCCCAACCCCTCTTTTCCACTGGCTTCAACCCATCTTTCCTATTCTCCCACAAATAGATTGAATCTCACCAGCAGACACATTTTGACGACTTTAGGCTACACCTGATCAGTGGTATCAGCACAAGAACAGCTGCAGGTCACGGCCAGGAAGGTACCTCTGCCTCTGAGCAGCGACGTGCTGTTTCATCAGCTTGAGGCTGTTCTCAAAAACACAGCCACAGAGTCCGCGGATTTCCCAGCAGTCTACATCAACTGTGCAACATCCAAAACACACCGAAGGTTTGGATAGACCAGAAGGGACCACCTAGCTGTGAACACGCTGCGCAGTCAGGCCGCCATTAAACCATGGGCTTTCTAACAAGATTCTTCTGAGCAGCAAGGCCGCAGCACTTTGTATGCTGTGTTTATGGTTTTGACTCAAAAACTGGCTACGTGGCCTAAGCTTTCTGATTTGTGTACGTGAATTAAATAAAATATGAATACTTAACTTTAAGAGGCTAGAGTAATTTCTCTCAACTGCATCCACCACTAAACACTTCAGCAACAGAATCTGAAGGTAACCTAGGAGAGGAGTGGGCTGCAGGCAGATGCAATGCTCCTGCAGCTTTCCACAGAGCATTTACTCCACTAAGGTGTCAACTGAGCAACTACTGATCTTGGCAGGGTTTTTTTTAAGCTTTTGCAAATATCAATTATTGAGAGCATATCACAACCTAAATTAAAATACAGAAAATATTTATGTAACTATCTCACACCAAATTAGACAACAGCCCAAAACACATTATGAGGAAGAAAAATGACACAAGGAAAAAAATTAAGAAAATTTGTAAGTTATTTAAAGCCTGTACACAGCTAATTTCGTTTTATAAATGAAGTGATTCATTGCGGACAAGAAAATTAGGACCCTAAGTACTCTGAATGTATCAATCACTGTTCCTACACGCAGTTTTATGAATATTTTGCAGCTTGTGTTTATAATGTTTTCCCACACAACATAATTGCTTTTCTTGGAATAACTGCATTTGCACAAGAACTTTTGCTACCACAGAAAGCCAATTAAAATGCTAATCCCTAATTAAGAATATATTCATAAAAATATTTTGAACAGGTTTTTTGTATGCATGCATATACACACTGTTTCATGCTCAGCAGCTGTACTGGTCTAACTGGAACGTGGGAATTTAAAACCGAATGAAAGCCTGTTAGGTGTGAACATGAAGACCTAAACCTCACTCTTGCAAAAACACCACTGGCATTACAGGATGTTGAATTGATGAACACAGAATTAAAAAAAAAAAAACCACCACAAATAATGAAGTAAAAATGACCCAAGCAAACCACAGTACTTTATGCAGCATGCAATGGAATCTCAGTGGCAACGTAAGCCTCAGCAACCCCAACGACAGTACCTATGGGTTCAAATATCAGTATGCTATCTGCTATTGATTCAAACGAAACAGCCAAGAGAAAAGGGGAATCAGTTTGAAATGAAAGTAGGGCTGCCAGCATCACAATTTTCCTAGATGTCTTTACGTTTCACCTGTAAAATCTTGTCTGTGAATTAAACATAACTACGTCAAAAAAAAACCCAAAACTATGGGAGTTTTTTTTGGTTTTACTGGCATAAGTGACATTTTTCTAGCCAACAGCAAACAAACTGAAAGAAAAAGCTAGCATACTCAAACATTTGAACACAAAGTTACACAAAGCAAAACAAGTACAGGCTTTTGACTAGTTGCACGTCTTCTAAATTTCAGCTGGCTGCAGGGTATAGGCACTAATTTGAACAGTGTAATAGTCAATACAGGTACCTGTTTGAAATAAATACTGAAAAAATTGTGCTGAAATATTGTCTATCGTATAGGCAATCGTTCTTTGCTTCAGTCTACATAATCACTTGCTACCAAGTATATTTTCCTTGTATGTTTAAGCAAAAGACTGGTTTATATTCCACTTCACAAATAGCACCTTCTAAATAACCTGAGTAAAAAATTTGAGAAAGTTTATGAAACAGCATCAAGGAATTTCCCATCACATATCGCAGACTCAAATATCACACCAATTCTTTGCTCTTCTCCTTGATATCTCTCAAGTAATTTAAAAATTATTTAAGTCTGTTTCTGCTCTTGGAAATTCTCACATCATGCTGCAATTCTCAGGAAAATCCTGAAACATAAAAAAAAACAACATATGAAAACCAGCGAACTTTATGTCTTTGTTCTCAGTCTCAGCTAGGCCACATTTGCCAACTACACCTCCTCTCTTTCTGGGTACTGCCTAGTCTTTGCTTCCTTACGCCACAGTAAAGCCCCATAATAGCAAACAAAGCAGCTTAGCAGTCCCACACGGAGCTAAGTGCGCTGGCATTAGGCAGTGTAGCGAGCTGAGCACATTTAACCTTCCAGGTCTGAGGACATTACCTTCCAAAATCCATTGCTGCTACCATTGCCTATCACCTGCCTACTCAAGCATGCAAAAAGGAACACTAAAAACACAGAGCAGAGATAGCTTGACACACCAGTAGCATGCAGTGATCTCCTGAAGCTCCCAAAGACTAACCACAGTGGAAATTAAAATAAATAAATAAATAAATAAAGACATAACCTCATATAGAAAGCTTTAAAGTAAGAATCAGCAAGATACATTTTTCAAACCAACCAACTTGGGCAGATGGTAAAAACGACCCACCATAACATTGCTACCTCCCTGTTGCAGTAAAGAAATACGGCACACCATGGAAAGCTTTCTAGAGGGCTATTGATCTCAGTCGTACATCAAATGTTTCCAGTAAGGAAAAAAAAAAAAAGCTCTATGCTTTTCTCATTATCATACAGAACTGGGCTAGATCCCTGGACAGTAAAAATAACGATTTATAAACAAACTGTAGAACCAAAGAGGTAGAAAAATACAGAAAATCTCTCAGGCAATAACTGCAGGGAAAAAAAAAAAAAAAAGCACGAAGGCACAGAGTCAGCGCCTTCGGTACTAGGACTCTGGCACTGGAAAAAGGGACTGTTTAGGAGGGACAATCTCGATTAGCAGCCTGCCCTCATACCCCAGTGCTCTATTACTGGGAGAGCAGGGAAGCTGGAACAGCCCCTATCACCCAGAGGCCGACTTAAGCACTGTCTGTGCCTGGTTGATACAGATACAGTCCTGAGTCAGGAGTGCTCTAAATTTAAGTAACATCTCTAGTGAAAAGCAGACATTAAAAAGTTAACTGAGTCAAGCCACTACACCAAACAGGGGAAAAAAGAAATGTTGGCACAATACAGTATTTTTTATTATTATTTTCTGCTGTAGTGTGAAAGAGGCATTAAAAGCCACTATTTTCAAAGTTCAGAAAGGGTAACGTTTGATTTTGTCTTTTTTTTTCCCCCCAACAGATACAAGAAGTCTTTAGTAGGCAACTTTTTTCCTAAAAGTTTTGTTTTATTAACTAAATTAAACAGCCTACATTAATCTACTTAAGACTAAAACTAGTTTTCTTGCACCCTTCTCTATGCATGCTAGAAAAAATACCAGTCAAGAAGGATACAGGAATCCTCAAATGACTCTGTCATCACTCTTGCTGGTACAGGTGTAAAGATGGGAGCACACTGCAGAGGAGGAGGAGGAGACACACACAGCAGGGAACACCAAGCTGGGTGTTCACCATGCAGCTACTGAGATCCCGAACCACAAATCCTCACAAGACATAGCTTGCACACCATCATGCTGCATCCTTTGCACCATCTCTACTCCTCCAAAGCATGCACAGGACACAGCTACTCACAGCAAACCCCAACCAAACAGCTACCTCACTTCAGAGTGCTACAAACACCAAGCCAAAATGTCAAACAAGAAACCCAACTGGAAACATCCATTGCAGGCGACGATCTGGTGGAGGCAGGCAGCCTCCATCCACCCAGCTCTGCACAGCCCGCTGTGCTTACACCAGCCAAGCCTCTGTTTCTTCATGCCACCTGTCACCAGCAGAGACGCGGGTCCCGTTGCTTCACCACGCTGAGCACCTCGAGAGGAACATGAATGAAGAAATTCTGGTCCCCTGCACGCAACCACCTACGCGTTACCTCCAAATCTGCCAGGTGCTCACACACACGCCTAAGGACACAGGTATATACTAAAGTCAAACCTCAGCTTAAGGCACCTTTTTTGTCTCGCAAATAGGAACAAACAGAGGCTAAATCCAGCTCTCCCATGCGAAGCAACAGCTTGCTGTATCAGCGTAGCTGACCCGTAATTGCACCATCAACTGCTTAATTGAGCCTCGTCTGGCTTTGGAACAGGTGTTTTCAAAGTCATGACCCCAAATTATTCCTGAAAATAAACGCGATTGCAACGTTTTATTCCCAGTCGCTTACCAATACACTCCTCGGACACCAGGACGGGGACAGGAAGAGGGGTGGTTTAAATAGCAGAGCATCCTTCTCCTCGGCTGTCGCTTTTAAGCAACACGCGTGCACACACGGTGAGCTTCCCTAGGCACGCACCGCACTTAAAAGACGAGG